CCAAAGCCCCGCCCGGTGGCAGCGGCGGCAGTGGTGGCGGCGGCGGCGACGCCAGAGCCACGGACTGCTTCTGTGGCGGGGACGAGCTGCACCAACCGACTCCCGACCGCTCGGCCGAGCTCGGTCGTGCTCGGAGGCGTTCGGCTCCGATCGGCCCCTCTCGATTCGGCTGGGGGCGTGGCTCGTTTCCCCTACCCCTCACCCCCCAGCCCAGGTCGCCTCAGGCTTTAGGGGGCGGGGCTTTGGGAACGGGCGCGATCCCCCTGACGTCGCAGGGAGCGGGCCTTATCCAGAGCGCATGCGCCGGCCAGCCACCCGCCCGCCTTCTCTGTGTGGAGGACGAAGTGGGTAGAGGAGGCGGATACGGAGGCGGATGCTGAGGCCCTGTCGGTTCCCTGCCTTTGTGCTCCATAGCCTGGTCCTTCTAGAGGGCAGTCTGGGCAAGGATCCCAAACCCGTGCGCCCCACCTCCTCAGTGCAGTTATTCCAAACCACCAATATTAGGGAGATTTTTTATTTTGACACCGCAAAGGTTTCACTGCAGGTTGTAGTGTAGTAGCCAAAAGGAACTTATGGTCGCCGCTTCCCTAATATCTTAGGATACTAGAGCTTTCAAACACCTGCCCCATCATGTTCATTTTTCACAGCTGCTGTTGGCCTGGGATAGAATCCTGTCTCACGTTCCGGGCTTCTTTTTTATAACGGAACCCCAGTCTGTGGAAATTTGTTCCGAAAGTAGCCCTCGCCCTTCGAACCCTGATAAACAGCTCTGAAGACTGACTGGGTCCCAATCCCAAACCTGCTTATGTCTAACATCAATTGGCCACAATCTGCCACCCACGAAAGACAGTGAAATATTAGGAGAGATAGGGTAAGTGAGAGGATTAAATGGCAGTCTATATAAAACTTTCTGCACCGCATCTTGACGTTGAGCGTTTAAAACAAGTCTGAATTTACAGCTGTGTGTGATGGCCCACAGCTGTAATCTCACTCGAAGAGACTGAAGCAGGAGGATTGCAAGTTCGGGGTCAGCCTGAGCTACATAGTAAGACCCTGCCTCAAAGGGGGAAAAAAAGTCTGAGTTTATTACAGTTAGTAAACGTATGCAATGTGTCAAATTTAACGTGTCCAGAGTCAAACACTAAAACTTGCTCCTTAACATATTGCATATGGTCATCGCACAACCATTACGGTTCACGTCGAGTCTGGCATTTGTAATGACCCGGCCAAACCGTCGCAGCCACCTTTCACCTCTCTCTCTTCCAATCATAGCCATCTAAGTCATTAGCAAGCCTGCTGGCCCTACCTTCAGAAGTCTGTACTGGGGATACTACAGGAGCTTTTCCCTTCCCGGCTCCCCTTTGTTACAGCCTGTGCTCAACGCAGCAGCCACAGGGATCCTGCTAAAGCCTAAATCATTTCTATATTGGACATAGTAAAAATCAAAAGCTTTATTCCAGGGGCTCCTAGATCCCATGCAATCTGCTCTTTCTTCTAACAAGTACGTCTCCTTCCTCCTTCCTCAGCCAGCCACACTAGCCTCCTTCCTGCTCCTGCAACAGGAAGGATCTTTGCACTTAGTCTGTCTTCTCCTGGGCACCAGAAAGATGTGTTCTCACTTCAAATTTCTACCCAAAAGGTATTTCCTTCCACAGACGTCAAGCCCAAATTTCCATCACCCTGTCTCCTTTTGTTCTGCTTTACTTTTCTTCCTGGCCCTTATAACCCCAATATTCATCTCTTGTGTCCCTAGGGGCAGGAATGTTGTTTTGCTTATTTTCAACATCTGGAACATGGGCAGATATGTTCAGGAACCCAATAGCTATTTCTTGAATGAATGAGTATATACAAGAGGTTGTGCTCCAATTTATTTTCATTTATTCAACCAACTTTTCCAAGCACCTTTCCTGGTCCAGGTACTCTGGGCATACATAGAAAGGCATTCTCCCAGATGCCAAGAAACTGCATATTTCAGAAGAGACAGAAACGGTATGGATCTGGAAAAAAATATGCAAATATCAACTGCTTTGGGAAACATGGCACAGAGGGTATACTTACCAGTGTGTGGCAAGCATGGTGGTATTTACATGCAATCTCAGATATTCAGGGGCTAAGGAAGAAAGATCACAAATTTGAGCCAGCCTTGGCAACTTTAGCAAAACCTTGTCTCAAGATAAAAATTAAAGAGAGGAGAGAGCTGCAACTGGAGTGCACAGTGCTTGCCTGGCATAGTCAAGGCCTTGAGTTCAATCCCTAGTACCAGAGTGGGGGGGGGGGAGAACAACCAAAAGGCCAAAGAAGATACAGGCCAGCATGGAAAGGGTTCCCAATGGCATTGGAAGCTGGAAGCTGAATCTGGAGAGATGACAAGAAGTGACTTCAGGAAAGGTGATGTGGGGTTCCCCTCAGTAGGCTGTGATTACCATTCTTGAATAAAAAAACTGGCTTAGCCTGATAGGGTAGAACAGAGCTAGGTAGGGAAAACTAAACTGAATGCTGGGAGGAAAAAGGCAGAGTCAGAGAGAAGCCATAGAGCAGCTGAGGGAGATAGATGCACTGAAACTTTGCTGGTTGGCCACGAACTCATGGTGATGCACAGATTAATGGAGATGGGTTAAATTAAGATGTAAGAGCCAATAAAAAGTTAGAGCTAATGGCCCAAGCTGTGATTTAAATAATATAGTTTCTGTGTGATTATTTCAGGTCTGAGCTGCCGGGTGGCCGGAATGACTAAGTGGCCTCCTTACAACAGAAAGGCAATAACCAGCACACATGTACTAGTGGTAGGGAGGTATGTCAGAAAAGTGGGAGAAGTTATTGATGATATTTAATCAAAGAGGCAAATTATTCTTCTTAGAAAGAAAAAGGGCCAGTGAGAGGGCTCAGCAGGCTAGGCGCTTGCTGCCAAGCCTGAAAATCTGAGTCCCATTCCCAGAACCCACACTGTAGAAAGCAAGAACTGACTCCTGCCAGTTTTCTGGTCCCATAAAGAAATAAATATAATTTAAAAGTTGTTTTAATTAAAATGTCCTAGGAAGGTGGCTCAGTGAGTAAAATGCTAGCCACTCAAGCTTGAGAATATGAGTTTGGATCTTCAAAACCAATTTAAAAATCTGGGTGTGTTTGGGGGAGAAAAAAGTGGAATTTAGGTATTTACCCAAAGGACTCCACATCCTACCATGAAGATGCTGGCACAGCCGTATTTATCACTCGTCTATTCACAGCTCAGATGCTCACCAATAGACAAGCGCATAATGGAAATGTGGTTCAAATACACAATGGGATTTTACCCCGCTGTAAAGAAAAATGAAATTATGAAATGTTCAGGGAAGCAGGTGGATCCAGAAAGTATATTAAGCAAACTCAGAAAGGAAAAATCCTCACAGTCTTTCTCAGATGTAGATTCTAGCTTACAATGCGTCTGTGTATGCATGTGAATTAGAGTAATGGGTCTAGAGAGAAGGTTCAACAGTTATGAATTAGTACTGCTTTTGCAGAGGACCCAAGTTCAGTTCCCAGCACCCATGTCAGGCAGAGCACAACTACCCGTAATTCCAGCTCCAGGAAATCTAGCACCCATGTGAACATACCCACATGTTCTCATGCACATATACACATAAATAAAAATAAGGATTGGAGAGATGGCCAACAGTTACAGACAATGGCTGACTTCCAGAGGACCTGGTTTCAATTCTCAGAACCCACAACTGTAACTCCAGTTCTGAGGGCTCCTACACCTTCTTCTGACTCCTGAGGGCACTCCACACATGTGGTACACATACACACATGCAGGCAAACAATCATACACAAAAATTTTAAAAAATAAATATTTTTTTAAAAATCAAAAGCTGGAGAATCTAGACTCTCTGAGAGATCATCTTGGCAAAGGGGTGTGGGGATCGCAGGGTAGTCATCTTCCGATACAAACCTTAATGATTGGGTCTGCCGCATGAGGGGAGAGGTGATCCCAAGAAGGCTGATGAACTTGAGAATATTTTGCGAGCCCTAGAAATAGCATATATGGGATAAGACAAGACAGCAAGTAGGCTGTAGAAAGTGTTTTGTGCCTTTGTAGTGAACAAGGTAACTGAAGCAGAGTTTTCTGCCCAGAAAGAACTTGGTCTTGAAAGAGCTACAGATAATAAAACATGGAAGAATCTCATAAAGAGGGACTGAAGAAATAGTTCAGTATCTTAGGTGCTTGCCGTGTAAGCATGAGGTCTTAAATTCAATCCACAGAAGCCTGGTTAAAAAGCAAAGTAGGTGGCTCACACTTGTAATCTCACTAGTGGTAGAGACTGGCAGATCTCTAGGACTTGCTAGCCAGCCACCCTAGCTTAATCTGTGAGCTCCAGGCCAATGAGAGACCCTGTTTTAAGGAACACTGTGGACAACTCTTAAGGGACAATATCCAAGCTTGACTTCTGACTATACGCATACACATACATACATATACTACATACACACACACACACACACACACACACACACACAGCTGTACATGTTCATCCACAGGAACACCACACACACACACACACACACACACACACACACACACACACACTTACCCAGACTCTCAAAGAATGTTGAACCAAGCAAGCCAGACACAAAAGATATACCTTATAAAAAGTTCATAAAGCTCATACTCTGACAAAATCAAACCTGCCTTTGTCCCTAGAACCCTCTACCACTTCTTATGGCTAAAGGGAAAGTTCTGTAATACAAAGTGGACAACCCCCCAACCCTCTGCTGGAACATCTGCTTGGAGAGGAAGAGAAACTGTCCTGCAGGTGAGTAAACAGAAGAAAGCTATGGGCACAGCTCTCTGCTGTAAATCAGAGAACAGGCGTCCATCGTGATAACATTTGTGATGTGTTAATCAAGTCCAAGCTAGGGAGTCGTTTCGACTATGGTAATATTCACCTACTGTAGAGAAGACTGTTCTTTCATTTCCCTGCCGCCCAGACCCGAATAATCAGATAAAAACTATTATTAATTACAACATTGTTTGGCCTATTAGCTCAGTCTTCTTATTAACTAACTCTTACATCTTAAATTAATCCATTTCTATTAATCTGTGTATCGCCATGAGGTTGTGGTTTACCAGGTAAAGTGCTGGGTGTCTTTCTCCTTCAGCAGCTACATGGCGTCTCTCTGACTCTGCCTACTTTCTCTCTACATCTCTGTTCAGATTTCCCTCCTGGCTTTGCTCTGCTAATCCATTGGCCAAAACAGTTTTATTCATTAACCAATGATAATAAAACATATTCACAGCATACAGAGGGGAATCCACATCACCTTACCCTGAAGACTAAGATACAGACATAGAATAACAGACACACAGAAGTTCTGTGGTACAGTATACATTAGCAAAATGTGTTTCCAGCTATGGCAGGGAATGTTTTGTTTTGCTTTGTTATTATTTTGGTTTTCTTTTCTTTTCTTTTTTATTTATTTATTGAGACAGGGCTTCTCTGTATAATAGTGTTGGCTGTCCTGGAACTCACTCTGTAGACCAGACTGGTCTCAAACTCACAGAGATCTGCCTGCCTCTTCCTCTTGGGTGCTGGGACTAAATATGTGCTCCAACACCAGTTAGCTAACAGCAGGGAATGTGTACAAATAGGGTCATACAGTTTTGAAAGAGTTGTCTTAGTCACTCACTGTTCTCTGGCTGTGAAGAGACACCACACCAAGGCAAGTCTTAAAGTATTTAATTGGGGGCTCGTTTATGGTTTCAGAGGCTTAGTGTCTATTATCATCAAGGCAGGGAGCATGGCAGCATGCAGGCAGGCGTGGCTCTTGAGCTAAGAACTTTACATTTTACTTCACACATAGGTAGAAAGAGAGCCTGGGTCTGGTGTGGGCTTTTGAAACCTCAAGTTTCACCTTCAGTGACACACTTCCTCCAACAAAGTCACACTTCCTGATTCTTCTAATCCTTCCAAACAGTTCCACTACCTGATGACTACACATTCATATATCAGTCTACGGCAGCCATTCTTATCCAAACCACCACAATAGTTATTCTTTCAGATTTTTTAGGGGGCCCAAACATTTACCCTTATAATCATGGAATTATAGTACCTACACTGTATGTGTAAATATACTGTTTAACGTTTTAAAATTTTTTAAATTTTTATTTACTGATTATGTGCATAGTGTTCCACCTGCATGTATGTCTACAAGCCAGAAGAAAGCACCATATCTCATTATAGAGGGCTGTAAGCCACCATGTGGTTGCTGGGAATTGAACTTGGGACCTTTGGAAGAGCAGCCAGCGCTCTTAACCTCTGAACCATCTCTCCACCCCTTAAAATTTGATGGTAGGTGTTAAACATCTGCCCATTTGTATGGGTGTGTGTGTGTGTGTGTGTGTGTGTGTGTGTGTGTGTGCTGACCATTTTGAGACACACTGTATACATTCATTATCCTAATCAATATCTTGCATACCCATGCGAAAGCTCAGACTGAACACTTTAAATGTGTATGGTTTACTGTACATTAATTATGCCTTAATGAAACAGGAACGTTATTTTAAAATCTCTTTTACTCTTTTCCCCCACTTTAACTGTAAGCCCCACACATGCTGCAGTGGGTACAGCTAATCTATGAGGGTTTGGGGTGGGGGTTGATTGTTTTTACTACCGTGCAGGATTTCAAGGCCCATGTTTTAGTTTCATTTCTGTTGCTGTGATAAAATTATCCTGGCAAAAAGATCCTAGGGAAGAAAGCAGGATTTTCTTTTCCCACTTATAATTTCAGGTTACAGCCCACCATGGGGAAGTCAAGGCAGCTAGTCGAACAGTTATATTACATATAATCAAAGGTAAAAAGAAATCAACACATTCATGCTCGTTTGCTTGCTTGTGCTTGGTTAGATTTCCCCACAGTTTGGGACCCCCTACCTAGGGAATGGTGCTGCCTATAATAGGCTGGACCATCCACGGCAGGAAATAAGCTGTGCCAAGTTGGCAAAGCAACAACGTCCATGTGCAATCCTTTGTTTGCTCAATCACTAGAGCTCCTTTTACTCCAAACCCCACCTGTCGCCAACAGATAATCTCTTTCTATTTTTACAGATCTGAGCAAACTTTCTCAGAGACCACCCCAGAAGTGAGAATGCTACACTGTGAGCCATGTGCACATTTGATTTTTTTGTTTGTTTGCTTTTTCTTTTGTTTTTCGAGACAAGGTTTCTCTGTAGCTTTAGAGCCTATCCTGGAACTCGCTCTGTAGACTAGGTTGGCCTCGAACTCATAGAGAGTCACCTGTCTCTGTTTCCCAAGTGCTGGGATTAAAAGCATGTGCCCGGCTTTTTTTTCATCTTTTTCTCTTTTTTGGGGGGGGGGATACATATTTGATTTTTACCAAGAACTGACTCCTATATTACAGAGGGGATGAACACTTTGACAGTCCCACCAGGTGGCTGGAGAATTCTCTATATTTGGATTTCAGACCTTCATACTGCAACTAAGGGATGGACGTTGGTTTCTAGTAGGTCCCACCCATTTCAATTTGGTACTGGCCTCGCGGTCACTGACAAACAATTCTTCAGGCTGTGGCCATTTCCTGGTGATTTAACAAACAGAATTTCTTGCTTATTTTTGCTTGTTTTCTAAATTATATTTCCGAGGAAGGGTGCAAATGCAAGACGGGAGTTCTTTGTTCTGTCTTCCCTGGGTACTCTTCGGCAACCCACAAAGGTTCCACCTCCATGAAAGAACTGGTCCTCGGTGCTTGGGCCAGTGTCCTAAACGGCAAGGAATGCAGTGACTCAGCTAGTCACTCAGGGACACTTTGGTGAGCAAGGCCACGGGAAGGAAATCATTACAGACAGCTGGACTGTAAAAAGCAAAAATACTCCACACACCAAGCTCCACAAGCCAGTAGAAGCCGAGCGTTCCATGATTCAACAGGCCTGTTTCTGCCACGTGGCTCATGCTCATGGTACGTGGCACATAGCCCTGGCTGGCTGCTGGCTGCTGCTCTAAGCACAGCTAGGAAAACCGAGAGAGCAGGGACCTCAGGAAAGCTGTGAGTGCCTTTTCTCCCCACTCTGACTGTCTGTCCACTTGTCTGCTCCTTGTCCTCCTTTGCAGTCCCTTTACCCGCTTATCATAACCCTCAAAATCAACAATAACAATAAGCTGGAATTAATCGTTTCACACACGCTGGCAACTTGGCAGGGATACAAGGTCAAACAACCAGTATCCTCTCAGGGCCCCAAGGTGGGCAGACACCCGACAAGTCTTGCTCCCTGGGGTAGGTTCCAGCATCCTGGGAAAAGAAGCCAGTAGCAGTTCCAAGGGACTGAGACTGGGCTGGAGACAGGACAATCGAAGATGTGACTACAGGTTCACTTGCTTTTACTGGAGGCCTAGTGTGTGTCAGACCCCGGTCTTACGCTCAATTAGTGAGGACAGACCAAACATCCTGTCCTCCCAGGGTCCACATTCCCGTGGAGGGGGGTCAAACACCAGCTAGCCTCAAGATGTAAGATACAATAGCACGTGAGGGAGTGATTCTTGTGTGTGTATGTGTGTGTGTGAGTACTCACCCAGATGAGATACATGTGTATGTGTGTGTGTGTGCGAGTATTCACCCAAATGAGATACATGTGTATATGTGTGTATATGTCTGTGTGTATAAGTACTCATCCAGATGAGATATATGTGTGTGTATGTGTATGTGTGAGCACTCACCCAGATGAGTTACATGTGTGTGTATGTGTGTGCGTGAGTATTCACCCAGATGAGATACATGTGTGTGTGCGCACATGAGCACTCACCCAGATGAGTTACGTGTGTGTGCGCGCGTGCGCGCGCATGAGTACTTACCCAGATGAGATACATGTGGGTATGCTCACTCGTGTATGCACATGTAGAGGCCAGAGGGTTATCTTCCTCCATTGTTCTCCATTTTATTCTTGGACACAGTTTCTCTGTTTTCATTTTGGGCAGTCAGTGAGTCCTGAAGGTTATCTTTCTTTTTTAATCCATTTAGTGCCCACAGAGGCCAGATGAGGGTGTGTGATCCCCTGAATCTGGAATTACAAATGGTTATGAGCGGTTATGTGGGTGCTAGGAACTGAACCCAGACCCTCTGGAGAGCAATCAGCGCTCTTAACAGTTGAGAAGCCTGTGAAGAATTTTTTTTCTTTTAAGATAAAGTCTCAGGCCAGGGATGGTGGCACATGCATTTAATCCCAGCACTGTGGAGGCAGAGGCAGGTGGATCTCTGTGAGTTCAAGGCCAGCCCCTGATCTACAAAGCAAGCTCCAGGCCAGTCAAGGTTGCATAATGGGACCCTGGGACCCTGTCTCAAAAAGAAGAAGAAGAAGAAGAAGAAGAAGAAGAAGAAGAAGAAGAAGAA